AGTTTACAGAGGGAGAGCTGGGAGAGGCAGAGGGAGAGCTGGGAGAGGCAGAGGGAGAGCTGGGAGAGGCAGAGGCTGCTGGAGATGACGAGGAAGACGTGGACGAGAGCGATGATGTGATTCTAGTAGAGAGTGATGAAGAGGAAGTCGCTGGCATTCAGGTGTGTAGCCTAGCGCACTGCATTCAGGTGTGTAGACCTAGCGATGCAATTTAGGTGGTCTCACGAACCATTGGCCGGGTGTGTAGCCTAGCGCACTGCATTCAGGTGTGTAGCCTAGCGCACTGCATTCAGGTGTGTAGCCTAGCGCACTGCATTAGGCTGCTGTAGCTAGCGCACTGCATTTATGGTGTGTAGCCTAGCGCACTGCATTCAGGTGTGTAGCCTAGCGCACTGCATTCAGGTGTGTAGCCTAGCGCACTGCATTCAGGTGTGTAGCCTAGCGCACGTGCTTTGTCAGGTGCTGCGTAGAGCCTAGCGCACTGCCTTCGTGTGTGTAAGGCCTAGCGCGTGCTTCGGCTGTGTGTCCTAGGCACTGCATTTCATGTGTGTGTGTTCTAGCGCTCTGATTGCTAGGTGTGTTAGCTAGCGCACTGCCATTCCAGGTGGGAGGACTGTGGCCTAGCGCCACTGCATTCAGGCTGTTGCTGGCTTAGAGGCACGATTCAGGGTGTGGCCTAGCGCCACTGCTTCAGGTGTGTTAGCCTAGCGCACTGCATTCAGGTGTGTGGCCTAGCGCACTGCATTCAGGTGTGTAGCCTAGCGCTGTGCATTCAGGTGTGTAGCCTAGCGCACTGCATTCAGGTGTGTAGCCTAGCGCAGCTGCATTCAGCGGTGTCGTAGTTTTTTCCTAGCGACTAGGCTTCGAGGTCGTGCGTATGCGCCTAGCGCAGTGGCTTTCAGTTGTGTGTAGCCTAGGGGACTGGGCTTCAGTCGTGGTGGCCTAGCGCATGCTTGCAGATAGTTAGTTTTGGCGACACCATAAACTGGAGGTTATATTTTGTGTGGCCTAGCGCACTGCTCTTCGGTTTGTGTGTGGCCTAGGCACTGACTCAGGTGTGTGGCGCCGTAGCGCATGCCGATTTCATGTGTTGATGTGCTTCTACGCTGGTGGCATTACGGTGTGTTGCCTAGCGCCTGCATTCAGTGTGGGCTGCTGCTAGCGCCACTGCGTTCAGGTTGTGTAGCCCCCGCTCTCTCCTCTCTCCTCGATAAAGTTTCGCGCGCTGCCTGTCAGGTGTGTAGACCTTCGATCTAAGCGCTCATTCCTGCGTTAGCGATGTGTAGATCGTTTTGCCCGCCTAGCGCTGTGTCATTTCGGGTGCATGTTAGTCGTAGGCGTGTTGCAATGCCTGTCGCCGGTGGAATTCGAGCTTAGGTCTGCCTCAGTACTTGACAGAATTTCTTGAATTTTGGAGCGCGCGCAGGCTTCCTTGAAATGTACTTATGATATTGTAGGTAATGTTGGATTTTGGTGCTCTTGAAAGTCCTATTGCATATTTCAAAAAATGCTCCTTGATTCTTTAGAAGAATTCGCTCTGCCTGTAATACAAGCAATTGTGTCATCATATTGTTAACCTCCATAAAATTGCGTTAACTGAGCTTAAAAGCTTATAGACCGAGTGGACAGTTAAGAGGGACTTATCACAATTACAGTTACGTCATAAAAATCAGTCAGTAAATCAAGGTATGGTATAGTGACGTGCTAGCTTTCGCTGTTTATGTGACATAGGGTTTTATATCTAATTTTGTCGGTAAGTTTGTATTGAGGTGGCATGCTTGATTAGAATGGGGTTATTTCCAGCGTTATGTGTGTTTGCTTTGTGCTGATGAATCTTCTCTCTCAGATAAATGTCTTGATAATAATGCTCCTTAAAAAGTTTCTCTTTGTGGAAAATAATTGCTTTTACGTTTCTCTGTCACGAAGGCCATGATAAACGGCTGGATTCTCGTTACACCAGATTGCAAGCTGTTACATCTAAGTATGATCGTGTTTGACATCCATTTGGAGGAGTGCATAGGGGTTCTTCACCAGACTTTGTTTGTGTTTTAGAAATCTTTCCTCAGAGGTACTTTAAAGATGGATAGTTTTTTTGTTGCATGAAGAGATGACTATGTTGAATGTGCCAAAGCACTGCCTTTTAAAACTTGAATTGACGAATCACAACTGGTAAAAGTGAAACAATCATTCTTTCTGTTAAAGTGCATATTGTTTACTCGACCAGCCCGAAGAGTTCCTGAGACACGAAGAAGAGCGAAGCCGAGATACTTATGATTGTGGAGCGATTAATGGAGGGAAGGAGCTTTGACACAGCGGAGCGAGGCAATTGGGGCGAAGAGGATGAGCGAGAGATTTAGGTATTTTGAGGTATATCTGCTAAAACATTGTTATCAGTATGATTGTTGTCAATGCTAGAATATTT